ATGATGGCCTAGCTCAGGGTGTTCTTCATTCTTAATAGTTCCAGGGTTCCTTTAGCAGGAATGAACTTACCCCTAATCTCTCTTTTCTATCACTTTTATTGGCAATTTTTTATCCTTTTTTATTTTTAAAATTTTCTCCTTTTTTTCTTTTGTAATATTCTCGTAGCCCTAGAAAAGTGCATCTTTTTTATGGGATTGCCAAAAGATCAGTCTAATTTATTGGCTCAATGGGTTTACTGGCAATAATAAAAATGAGAAGGACATTTGGGGGATACATGCAACCAAAGATGGCCTAAATCCTTTCTCTGATCAATCGATATGGTATTAGGTTGTAATGGTTCCTTCTTCTATGTTGTCAGGTTCCTTCTCTTTATAGATCTGGCTTTGTTATTTCCCAGCTTGGGGTCATTGAGGATAGCTTTAGTAAAAGTAGAACTTAAGAGAGCATTAACTGAATAAGGGATCTCCCCTTCTTTGTAAGTATTTCCCATCATGAATCCTTGACGAACAATTAACTTTCCTGAAAGTTTGCCCTTGGAACTTGTTGCAAGTGTAAATTTAAAATAGGCTCTAATTTTGCAACTCTGTTGAAAATGATTGAATTCCTAAAATTAATTAGACTTGATTGAGCTTATTTCTCTATCATGAGTAGACCTGTTCATGGGCCGGGTGGCCCCGGCCCCCAAACGGGCTTGAACATGTTTATAGGTCCGCGGGCTTAAACTCGGGCCAAAAAGCCTGGCCTGCAATAAATTCGAGCCGGGTTCGGGTTTTTTCAAAATAACCCGGCTTGAGCCCGGCCCAGTCTGACCTAAAATTAGACTTAAAATGGATTATGTGATTATGTCCATTTGAATAAATTTTTTTATTTAAGAAGGTAAAACTGTGTTTTAAAACGTAAAAGAAAGGAAAAAAAAAACCATCTTGTAGGCTCATTGAATAGGAAAAATTGTAATTTTTTTTATTAGGTCGGGCTTCAGGCTTTTTATCAAGGCCGGGCTCAGACTTGTGCCTAACGTATTTCCATTAATGATGAGTAAAAACCCAGCCCGGCCCAGCCCATGAACAGGTCTAATCGTGAATAAGCATTTAGGCAGAAAGAGAAGTAACGCGATAACAAGAAAAGCAACATCTTTCACTAATTCAAGAGAGTTGTTCGATGATTCAAGCAACTAACAGAAAGAAAGGGCAAAGTAGAACAAAATATGCTAATGAAAAGGTCTTAGTGGAGAAGCTTCTTTGGCAGTGTTGAATTTGCCACCATGGTGCTTGGTTGCAAATTTTTAACTACCAACAATTACTAGTATCATGTCCTGGTCCTCCTCGATGGTAAGCATAGAAGACATTCCCATCATAGTACTTAGGTTTTGGATTTGATGGTGGCTTCCAAGTCTACAATTGGAGGTATCTCCTTTTAAGGAAGATAGACAAAATTGGGAATGTGGACGTGGCAATGGGGTGAAAACTACTTTTCTTTAAGAGGTGGTTAACTGCATGGTACTAGCTAGGTAGATGAGAATGCTAGTGTCTGAGACGGTAGCATGCATGAAGGAGGCATTGAGGATGGAGACATGTAAGGTAGTGGAGGTGTTATGTATGAAGGGAGTGCGAAGGATGAAGGTACACAAAATTGTGGTACTAGAACACCTAAGCGAGGTGGGTCTGCCCCAAATTGCGAGATAGGCCAATTAACTTTGGAACTTAACAAGTTCACCATCTGTCAAAGCTCTTCAAACTCTTGATAAGTCACAAGCTTGTCATTATTGCGAATAGTCATCATTTTTTGTGTAGGAATCATTCAATTAGAGAAAATGAATGTGAAAAATGCATAACCTAAGTGTGTTGGGGGACTTAGGAAAGTGTGGTCTTGAGGACTTATTGCCGGGTGATTAGTTTGCTCGATTGAATAGGAGAGTCAATTAAACTGGGACTTTATTTAATTATGAAACTTTTATTTTATTTTCCTTATTCGAGTCAGACCCAAGCATCACCACCTAGGCTGCCTATGTATCCCTCTAAAAGGGATTAGACAATAATAGTTCCAAGAGTTATTTATAGTTCTGCTATTTCCTTCTTTTTGCTTTATTCTCTCTATTCTTTTTTTTTTTGCTTTATGACTACAAAATGGAGAGAATGAATCTAATTGACAATGGTATCATGGCTGATAAACTTATGCATCGATGAGACTATGTAATGTAATTATTCATGGAGTGTCCTTGATTTTGATGATAATCACAAAAATCACTAGGTTGGAGCCTTCGTGGTAATGGACATGGGATTGGCTTCGACTATATATAGAGGTGTCATGTGACCTTTGAACAAGGTGAGTGAGTATATGTGAGAGTGGTATGGTAATTAGGGTAAGACGCTTTCTCTTCCATTTTTGAGGGTGCATGAGTAGAGCATGACACTTCTTTAGTAGAGGTCAAAGCTTGTTTTACAACCATGACTTGATTTTGGTCAGATTTCCTTGGTGAACATGAAGATTTAAACTCTTCATTGTGAATTCTCCCATGTCTAATTTCTTCCTTGATTCGTGACGAAAGTTCTGGAAAGTCTGTCCCATCATTAGGGAGAACAAAGGTTCTCTTAGGCCTCATTTGATTGCACTTTTCAGAGGTCTGAATCTGAAAATGTTTCTTTTTAGATCCTTACACTTGTTTGGTTTTACCTCTTAAACTTGATCTGAATCTTATTTTTAGATCTGAAAATAATAGAGATTGGGCCAGTTCTTAATGCGCTCAGATGCGTTTTAGAGCTGGTGCATAGTCCAAAATACCCTTACAATATTTTGGAAATGACGCGCGCTCAAACTCGTTTGTTTTTTCTCTCGCTCTCGCTCTCTCCCCTGTCTTTTCGCCACCGCCGCTACAACTTGCAGTGACAACTCTCTCTATCTCCTCGTCTTCCCACTTCTCGCCACTGCCGCTGCAAGTTGCAGCGACGATTCTCTCTCTCTCTCTCCCTCCTTGTCTTCCCGCTTCTCGCCATCGCTCTCTCTCTCTCTCTCCCCCCTTGTCTTCCCGGTTCTCTTTCTCTCTCTCTCTCTCTCTCCCCTTGTCTTTCCACCACCGCCACCGCCACTGCAACATGCAGCAACTGTGGTTCAATGAATAATAATAATAATATTGTTATTAATTATTAATTATTTTAATATTTTTTATTAAATATTAATTAATTTTTATTAAATTTATTTGTGTTATTTTTAATTATTAATTATTTTTATTAACTAGTAATTTTTAATTATTTCATTATTTTTTTAAAAAAATATTTTAAATTTTATTTGTGTAAATTATTAATTATTTTAATATTTTTATAGTCATTAATTTTAATCGTTTCATTTATTAATTAGTAATTATTGATTTATTATTATTATTATTTATTTGTATTGTTTCAATATTATTTTGAGGTTGAGAATTATTTTTTATGAGATAATGCAAATTGAACTCAACATTTCCAAATAGTATGTTTTAAGGGTAAAATAGTAAAATCAGGAAATTTCAGATGGTAAAGGGTTGATCCAACACAAACAAACTTATGGATTCAGATCCTCTAAAAAGTAGAAAATCTATGCCTCTTTTCAGATTTCAGACACTTTTAATATCTTTTTAACTTCTCAAATTTATCAAACACCACCTCAGTGATTTGATGATCTTAACTTTTCAAAATTTTCTTACATGACATTCCATCGATGCATATATTCAGCAAAGCTCTCTTTAGGTGCCTAGAGGAGATCTCTTCAGTCAATAAATATCGGTGAAAGGTGTAGATTAAAGCCTTTAATGAAGGAATTGAACAAAGCCATCAGTGGGAAGTGGTAAATGGTTTTGTGTGGGCATTGAACAAAACCATCAATGTATTCCATAGTCTTGAATCCGTTCAAAATAGGGATAAATCTGTGATTGCCAAAGAAGGTAATTCATATGGTCGAGTTTGACAACAATTAAATGACTCACCAGCTCGCTCAAGTTTGACAACTAGTTTGTTTTGCACTTCCTTTTACTCCTCTCCCGTAGCACAATATACTTAAACAAGGCTAAGGCCTAAGGGGCATGGTGAAGTGAAGGGGAATACATGCCAATTATATCTACACATATGATATTCACAGGAGACCACTTAGGGGTGCAATTCGGCTGGGCTGGGTTTAAGCTCAACCCAGGCCTGACCCTAAGAATTGGGCCTAAGGTCCAAGCCTGAGATCAAGCCCGAATTATCCAACTTGGGCCCAATCTGAACTAAAATTTGGTGCACTCATCTCGGGCCCAGGCCAAGCTCGCATTAGTCAATCAGTCCACTAAAATTCAATATCAATGTTTACATATATGTATAACTTACCAAAAAAAGTTTGCAAATATGCATGTATGCACTACAAGTATGTGTTTGTAGATGTATATATATGTGTGCATATAATTGGGCTGGGAGCAAACCAGATTCAAACTATCTAAGAGATAGGTCCGAGCCCAACCCAAAAATAAAAAACCCAAACTTTTGGGCCCATACCCAACTGCAAGATAAAAAAAATCCAAGCTCTATAAAACAGAGTAGTAATGAGAAGATGGTATGGTGATTGGTGAAGTACAAAGTTATTTTTCTAGTTTCCTTTTATGGGAAAACTTTGGTCGAACCTGAAATATCCATTTGAGAATTGAGATACAATGCTACGACAAAAGGTGTTGAAGAACGCAATAATCTAATTTTCATGTTGTACGTGAGTTTTGGATTTTTTTGACAGACTGCGAAATATCATCCCGCAACAAGTACCAACTTGCTTTTTTAAGTTGGGAAGGGAAAATTAGAAAGGAGAAAAGAAAAAAAAAACTAATTTGAATTTCTTCTCAACCATCAATACCCATTTGAATTTCTTCTCTCAAATTAAGAAAAACTAATAATAAATGAATAGAAAAGAGGTGAAAGGAGAAAAGGAGAAAAGAAAAACCCAGTTGATGGTAGTTTATATAATGGTACCCTTTGGGGTGAGTTGGGGTTGAATTATACTTGTTCATCACCATGCCTAGAGAGAGGGATCCTCTGGTGGTAGGTCGGGTGATAGGGGATGTCTTAGACCACTTCAACAAGTCCATATCCCTTAGGGTGACCTACAACTCTAGGGACGTTACTAATGGATGTGAGTTTAAACCCTCCCTAGTGATCAATCAACCAAGGGTTGAAATTGGAGGCGATGACCTTAGGACCTTTTACACACTCGTAAGCCCAAATCATACTCTTCTCTTCTCTTTATGTTTGATTGTTATTTTTATTAGTTTTTCTATATTATTTATAAATTCTTCACAGCTTCTTTCCTCCACAGTCCACATAGCTGGTGTGGTGTGTTTAAACAACCTAACCATTTGTTGAATCTTAAGTTAATTTCTTTTCTCTTTTTCTTGAGCTGTTTCTGTGACTGACCAGAAAATTACTGTCGAATATATATTATTCCAAGTAAAATTCTAGGAGTCCGGATCTCTTGAAAGCAAAAACTGGAAACAGGGCATCCATCTACACATCAGAAATATATACATGTCCCATATGTGTATGTTAAATTCATGAGAAGACATGTTTCAAAGTGTTTACAAGGTTTTTGCTTTGAGGAGATCCCATCACAAATTCTATGCAGTGCAACAATTAAATGTTTTCATTCTCTTGCAGGTTATGGTCGATCCTGATGCTCCAAGCCCAAGTAATCCAAACCTAAAAGAATATCTTCACTGGTTTGCTCTCTCTCTCTCTCTCTATTTCTGAGACTACTCTCTCTGAGTTTTTTACCTTTGATTTCAAGTGGTGAATCATTTTCCTTTGAAAACGACAAATGGGAAACAGTACAAAGTACGTTCAACAAGGTTCCGTAGATGTAAATCATTAAAAAGAGTGGCTAACCAATGAGTGGCGTTCTAACTGAGTAAAGAATTGATGATATGTGTGTATCCAATGGAGAAATTGAAGCCATGGAAACCTTCTCTGCATCCTCTAGTCTAACGAGAGGACTGATACAAAAAAGTACAGAAAAGACCAGAACATTGTGCTGCTTTTCTCTCTTGTTTTGTCTTTTCTTCCTACTAGCTTTAAGTTCTAAGTTTTGAAGCCTTTCTACTTTATTGTCCTTTGATACCCGAAGAGGATTTCAGGTTGAAATTTGCTGCATAAAATTTACTAGCTCAAGACTGCAATTGCATTGCTCCATCCGCTAAAATTTCTTTCTTAACAAGATTTCTCAAGTCTGTATTAATTTGTCAAAACTTTAAAATTTTCACAGTAGCTCGGTGCAGTGAAATCAATGAGTAGTCACTTGCTTGAAGGCGCATGAAGAACCAAATCACCAATGGAGGAAATAAGATTTCGTTGCCTAAAAAAAGAAAACACTAAGAAATTTGCATCCTTGTGTTCATTACTTTCTGGCCGAAAACTTCATAAAACTTACAGTATTTTGTTTTAGAATATATTGCAACAATCAGTAAGAGCTTATGTTATTATCCATGGCAAAAGCTGCCGAAACTCGAATGGCAACATCTAGCTAGTAGCTGTAGGGCATGGACATGTTTTTTGGGTAGAGATACAGGGCATCGATGTGGAAAGGGCAAAATATCAGGTCCAACTATTTTCACAGCCGGAAAGAGTGGTTCTATTCAAACTCTGTTCATTTTTCGGGAATATACTTTGAAAATATTTACTCGGGTAATTGCATTTATTCATATTCTTTTTTGTTTAATTTATTTGGATAAATGTATCTTGTGGGGGAATTTTTGACCATTTTAATCCCACTACTTAAAAAAGCTCAGCCTACCTAATTTGAGAAAGGAGAAAACCAATTTTGCTGAGAGTCCCACATGTTTCTGAAATATCTGAAATAAGAATATGGGTAAGTTGAGAAAATGTTTTTTAACAAATTTTGTGTACTTCCTCAAGAATTCCTCGTTTCTCTCTTGTTTTCTACCAAACCAAAAAACCTTGCTTAGATCAAGAAAATTAGGGATGATTCATTTTATTTCTCACTCACACCTTTAAAATTTATTTGCCTCCACATGACTTTCAGGTTGGTGACAGACATCCCTGCAACTACTGGGGCAAGTTTCGGTGAGTATTTCTTTACAGCGCTAGGCCCTCTACTTATATTTAGGTTTTATTTTGTTTCTCTCCATTCATTAGAATCCCTCATCAGTTATGAGCTTATGACCCTTTTTTTGGCCTTTTGGTAGTTTTTCTCCTAAGATCTTTTGTTAGATTTATTAATGCATGTCTTGCTAACATCTGGGGGAGCTATTTGCTGGATGAAGTAATTTAGAACTTTCCCTCAACTTATTCTTCTTTCTTATTAAGCTTCTCTCAACTTTATAACTTATTAATTTTCTATCAAACCAAATATAGCCTTGGTCTACGCATGTTACATCCATTACGATAAACGCTATACAAATTCATATCCTTTGACCAAAATTTTGAATAATTAAGATTGGCATATATAACTCTGAATCCTTTAGTTTATTTCTTTTCGTTTCCCACTCAAACAAATTAGTTTATTCAAATAAAACTTTGGATAAAAGTAAGATTTTTTGTGGATTAAGACTTGAAAATTATATCCAAATGAAAAGGTGAAATTCCATGTAACATTCAAGGGGGTAGACAATCAAAATGCTAATTGCTTTTGCTTTAGAAGACAATCATTCACATTGAAAAACACCCTCCGAATAGTCTGTTCTCACGAAGTTCGAATCTGCTTGTACTCACCTAGGGATGGCAATTTTCCCTATCCTCGACAAGAACCCAACTTCCCCGACCCCATGGGTCGGGGATGGAGATTGTTTTGGCGGGGCGGGGATAGGGACAGGGATTAATAGGAATCCCCGATCAGGGTTGGGGTCAGGGATGGGGATTGAGGTCCCCGCCCCACCCCGATCCCAATGATATATACATACATACATACATACATATATATTAAATGTTATTTATATTAAAAATATATATATATATATATATATATATATATATTATTTCTATAATATATTATTATATACATCAAAACATTATTTATAATTTAAATTACTTATTTATTTTAAGTAAATTTATTTTTCAAAAAATACTGTTATCTAAAAAAATTTTGGGGATTCGGGTCCCTACAAGGAACCCATCCCCGTCGGAGAACAGGGGTGAAGGACAAATTTTATTCCTGATGGGAATCAGGGACGGGGATGAAGGTTAATTTCAGAATTGGGGTTGGAGACGGGAAATATGATCCCCACCCCAAACCCGCCCCGTTACCATTCCTATACCCACCACCACCATGTTGTGGAATTTCATCAAATGGTATTTTTCTTTTTCTAGTGACTCCTTAGAGAGGATTAATTTTATAGATTTGACTTGATATTTGGCCCATTTCATAGTTTCCTATTTAGTCTCAACCAATTAGCATGTCCGATGTGCATGCGATATAGAGAAAATGTCTACAAATCATATTTTTGTAGTGCAGTCCCCGTGAAGGGGCCTTCTTTGGAGCCCAACCCAATTATTCACTGTGTGTGTTTGTTAGGTGATCAATGATCTATATATTGGTGATTGGACCGGATGTCACCCTAAATAAAGTCTTTAATAAAAGGGACGAAGAACCAGATATTCATGCTAAAGAAAGTCTTTAACAGAAGCGACGAAGAAATACATGATACTAGAAAAATTTATAACCAATCGATAGTGTCATAATTCATAAAAGTGGTAATCAATCAGGTGGCATTTATCAAAATTCACTCAGACGAGGATGATTGGTCAAAGTTCTTCTAGTATTATGTCTTTTCACAGCATATTATAGAATTTTTAAAGGAACAATAAGATATCTGAGTTGTTTTTCCTTCCTCTTCTAGTGAAGCCCTAGGATCTGAAAAAAAATTATCTGCCTTTGTTGTGATTCCTATCAGGGCAAGAGATCGTCTGCTATGAGAGCCCACGTCCAACCATCGGGATACACCGGTTTGTTTTTGTACTTTTCCGGCAACTGGGTAGACAAACGGTGTATGCTCCTGGATGGCGTCAAAATTTCAACACCAGAGACTTTGCTGAGCTTTATAATCTGGGATTACCAGTGGCTGCTGTTTATTATAACTGCCAGAGGGAGAGTGGTTCCGGTGGAAGAAGACGATGAAGTTAGAAGCTATTTACATAGCTTATTCTCATCATGACATTATATTAGAAGCTATTTATGAGACAAATAGATGTATGGAGACTCTAGAAGCAGTTATTTATGAGACAAATAGATGTAGTTAGAAGCTATTTACATAGCTTATTCTCATCATGACATTATATTCTGCTTCCTGTTTTGTATTTTGGTTTCTTATAGGGCTTTAAAGTATGCAAATGTGATAGGTCTCTATCTTGTTATTAGAAAAAGAAAAATTAAGATATCATAGCAATTGCCCCGAGTTCATTTTGAAAGCTATGGATACACTAGTTTTTTACATACTTTCCTTTGAAAGCCTTACTGGTTGAATTCAGAATTCACTTTTATATACAGATACAGAAAGTCATGACCTTAGATGTATTACAGTGGCCCCACCAAAAAGTCACTTCATCTAATTCAAGGTGGAGAGTGGAGACATGGCAACAAATCAAAAGCTTTGATTTAGTTGTTTCAGGGCTACACTGTCGTAGCAAATGCGAGTTTTTGGACATTTACCCCTGTTCTGTTTTGTGTAATTTATCTGGGTAAATGTATCTTGTGGGGGCATTTTTTACCATTTTTTTTCATTTATCCTAACTCAGCTTACCCAAGCCTGAGAAGGATATTACTTACCCATGTAAATGACACTTAAAATTTCAATTTTGCCATGGATCCCACATGTTTCTGAAATAATAACATAGGTAGTTTGGTTAATGGGAACCACTATCTCATTGACCTCCCTTCAAAATCCCAAAAATAAATGGGACCAAAAAAAAATACTAGAAAAAAAATCATATCACTAAGCATTGAAGAAAAAAAAGCAAGTCATGACTAGGAAACCTCTACAGATGACGCAACCAAAAATGTAAAAAATGAAATGCTAATTTAGACCCCACCCATTGGCAATTACTAATGCAACTTTCAAAGCAGACGAGGGGGGCAAGAGAAGGCCATCTACCTCTTCTAGCAAAAACATATTATCTCATCTTGCCATATGCCATATGCCATATTTCGTCCAGAAGCACTGTGCCAATCAAGCAAATGCTCATTGAGTCAACGGACGTGTTAAAAGTTAGGCCAGAAAGTTCGCCATGCCATATAATTTCTTTTAGGATTGTATTCAAATAAAAATAATTTTAGAATAAGAATAGAATTTCTATTACTTGATAGTTTCCCAAGTTTTTCTTGGACAAACGGAATAGGATCATTGGATAATGATGATGATGATATTGATGACAACGAGGAGGGACGAGGACGAGGTTTTTCTTGGACAGGTCAAGTGCTAAGCCCAAACTAGTAGACCAGTTGATCCATAATCCAAACGTCCATTAAATATGATATCTTAATACTGATATTTTCATGCACAAAAAAAAAAAAATCAATTCCTTGTCCAAACAAATTTTAGTGAACAATTCATTGCGGCACATTTTGTTTATTTAATGTACTAAAGAATGTGTAATACCGACAAAGAATGTGCACATCTAAGTCAGCATCAGCCTATCCCCGGGGTTCAGATTCTATGGTGTTCTTTGAGCATTTTACTATGCCAAACATCAGCCAAGAAATAGAGTTTCCGCAAATAACAAAAAATTTTGAAGAATGCAATGCTTTAATTGCCTACCAACTAATCTCGCAAGGAAAAATCAAAATTCCGAAATTATACAAAGGGTTAAATTTTGAAAAAAAAAAGCAAAAAAAAAAAAGAAGAAACGGATTAGGATCAGAAATTCACCTCGTTGTCGGCAAACCTCAACAAAAATTTCAAAATTAAAGGCTTGTGAGCTTCCCTGACCTCCTTCCATTTGATTTCAATCACACCTTTCATGACACGTGAGTAAAGCCTTTCAAGTTGTGGGACACCGTAGTCTTTGGTGAGCTCTACCAAGCGCTGTTTGGCAGACTCAACTTGACCAGAAAATTCTCCATCGGACATTAAGACATCTTCCAGTGATTTCTTTGTGGGGGTGTGATCAGAAGCATTTCCAGAAGTTCCTAGTTCCTCGTCAGCAGTAAGATTATCTGCCCTCTCCGAAGCCACACCATTTGACTCGGGTTCTTGAGATTGTGCCGTCTGAGACAATGCCAGCTTTGTTGGTGCTGATTCTGCAGTTCTTGACTCCTCTTCTGCAGTTGAACCTGAACCCCCTACAGATTCAAATAAACAGTTGAGAACTGCAACGGGATATCAACAACGACAATAATAATAATAATTTGGAAGATAGTAACTATTGAATCTTGGCATATAATAGTACTATGATGCATGTGCATGTACACAATACAGAATGCCATGGCATCCAACAGAAAAATTTTGGCTGTTTGGAAGCTTCCTGTGCATGACAAATTATCCCATTCAGTTCCTAGCTTGTCTTTTTAACTGAAAGAATATTGGATGCAAATACTCTTCTACCCCACACCCATGGTAACATGTCATGGGCAGGAAGCTCCCAAACAGCCAAAGTTTACCTGCATCCAACCATGTTCAAAGAGACGAATAGTGGAATGTCAGTACTCATTATGCGACCTTTGTATACAAATACAATGGGAAATGGATTAGTGCTCCACTGCCCACAGCCCACTAACCAATCTTTCATGTAAAATTGGGCTGCTTATGTCTGAAGAAAAAATTCAGTCCAAGGGAATGATACATGCACAATAACACACTTAAAAAAAAACAGCAATGCATGATCCATAAGCCGCTAAGTATGTGATTTGGTGCCACTTGGCATGTATACATTGGAACCATCCATCACATATATGTCTAACGCATACCACAACGAACTATTGACCCAAAAACAATCCTGCAGAGTGGCGATATCTACCAGTTAATTTGAGCTTTCTATTCTATTTTATATAATTCATGGCCATGGACCAAGTCATGGAACAGGTTCCCCATAAATGAAAAGATGCAATGAGAGAGAGAGACACGCAAACATACAAAAATAATTGACTGTAAAATGTCAGAACCTGCCATCTAGTCAAATGATAATACCAAACAACCAAGTGAATTTCCAAGAGTTTTCCATCCTTCTAGAATCTCAAGAAACTGAGGTTCAAAAAATTTATCACAGAAAATTCTCCTCAATGGTCAGTCAAAAAAGCAACCTTCAATTACACTTAAATGGCTGTGTTCATATTGCATTTTAAATATTTCCTATATTACTGGGTTTGATCAATAAAAAAAAATGGCATATTTTGCCAAGTCAAGTACAGAAAACAATTGTAGATATTAGGACTTCAATTAAATCAGGCAAGGATAAAAGTATCACAAAAAAAGGGGGGGAACAAACACAGTTGGTACACATCTACTTGGATTTTCAATATTCAAAATTAAGTTTCACAGCCAATGGAACAATCCAAAGGATTCCAAAGTTAAGTACAAAAGCCAGAGAACTCGATTGAATCATTTACTCCGAAGAAAGGATGAATTGAGAAAGCATAACAACATCCATGGTGTAACTTGCACAGAAATGGGTTGTGAAGTCAACCCAACTACAACTCAGAGACTTGGTTCAATCTAACTTGCACAGGTATAAGTTGAATTAGTCAAATTTGGCAGAGCCAAGTAGCAATTACAGCAAACTAAATTGCTAGTAATATTTTTTTTTATCGATAACAGAAATCTTTATAATGAATAATACTTGCTAGTAATATTGAAACAGTAAATTCACATGAGATTCATCCTAGGAGCCAAATTCTATTCTGTTTCCTTAGTATTTTCCTTGAACAAAGATATATGAAAGTCAGGTTTGGGTTGTGTTGGGTTCAGTTGGCTTGACCAGGCAAGTATAAAATTGTGTTGAGGTATACCAACTTCAACACAACATAATTCATGGAAAACCAATGCAATTCAACCTATTTTCTGGTCAGCTTCAAGTTGAGCCCAACTTTACATCACTTGGTCAAGCCAGCTCTAGGTTGAACCTACCCAAGTTGCACACCTACATAAACTTACACTCAAAAGTATTTGGGAATAAATTTTGAAGATTCTAGTTATTAAATGGCTTTAAAATGTTTACGACTGAGGAAAGCATGCAAGGCAGTTTTGGAAAAATGAACAATGTTGAATTCTGAGAATGTGTGATGTGTATCCAAGATCCTATAAGCAAAGCTCCAGATATAGTAAAATCCTTCCATGATCTTGTTGCGTTTAGTTATGTGCATGTTCCGAGGGAATCTCTCCCTCAATTAATAACAAAACAATATATATGTCAATGCATTCAGGCAAGGTAGAAGCAGATTGTCTGCATCCCTTAATCCATAGAAAAATAAGGAAAGGTGTGTCACATTGATGAGTCAGCTAGAAGCTTCATCTATAATCCCAATGAATCTGGATACAAAATGGAAGAATTATGTTCCAATGGCTGTTTCACAGCTAAATTCTATGATGCTTTCACAAGGAATCAGGTGGAGTTTGAAGTGAACCAGTGTGAAAACAAGAGAAGAAGAAATGCAAGAGAAGAGATTTCAGGAATGGGGCAGCAGAAAAGTCTCTGTCCAGCCCTAATTTGATATTTAAATGAATGTTCAAAAGTATGAGAAAGTACAAGATTGACCCTCTTTAGGCAGCAGCAAATAAAAGGTTTAAATACATTCCAACAAGAAACAAAAAGAATATGAATAACAGCAATACATGTTACATCCCAGCCCATATGATATTAAGCATCACAACACTCCCCCTCAAGCTGAGAATAGATATCTATCATTCTTGGTATGCTCACAATTCAAGAAATATTTTCTTAAGCAAGCCTTTGGTAGACATCAGTTATCTGCTTCCTAGAAGGCAGGTAGGCTATACACAATTCTCCAGAGATAATTCTTTCCCTTTACAAAATGTCTATCAATCTCAATGTGCTTGGTCCTATAATGCTGAACAGGGTTGTTTGTCATATTGATTGCCACTTGTTATTTATTTATTTTTGATCAGCAAGAAGGATTTTTACTAATTTAATAACAGATTACAGTACTTCCCCGAGTATAACAAAAATTGAAAGTTCCCATCAAACAAGTATCGTTAACCCTCTTTTTTAATACAGCCAGTTATAATTTTGCCCAATAGAGAGAATGCTTATCAACTCCCTCTTTTGCTAGGATATCTGCCAATCCATTTGCTGTCCTTTTAGTCCACCCAAAAGTAGAGTTGAAACCCCTATTGAGTCAATCTCCCTGAAAGCAAATCTATACCAATGTTTTAAAACGCTGAGGCGTGACGCGAGGCGTTCCACTACCTAGAGGCGTGAGGCGTAATTCAGAATGCAAGAGGCGTAAGCCTCCCGAACACAAGGAGGCGTAAGCCTTCTTAAGAGGAGGGGGGGTTAGGAGGAGGATGAAGATGAAGGGGGGATCTCATTTTTTCTTTATCTTTAATAAAAATCTTTTATATTAAGAAGAATAAAGATGCATAACAGTAGTTCAAAGGGTGGGTCTTGTTGAAGCAAAGGTGAGCGAGCGAAGCGGAGCAAGACCCCCCTAACTCAGAAAAACAAATTGGTCTGCATCGAAAAGGGGGCGAAGTCCCCCAGCCGAAGGGGCAGGGGGCAAACCATTTTCTTTCCCCTTATCTTTTCTTCCCTTCCCTTTTCTTTTCTTTCCTTTTCTCTTTTTTTCTTCTCTTTCCTTTCCTTTTTTTCTTTTTTCTTTTTTTTTTTCCTGGATTTTCATATCAGGTGTGCATGAGGCACAAGAGGCGTACACCTCTAGCACGCCTCATGAAAAAAGCGCAAGAGGCATACGCCTCAGAGGTATCAGCGCCTCTGGCATACGCCTCAAGGCGTTTTGGGAGCGCCTTGCCTGGAGGCCTCCAGGCGTACGCCTCCCACGCCTTTTAAAACACTGATCTATACTTCCATGGTGCTAATTTTACTTGCTTTGCCCAAGAGATGACCAAAAGTGAGTCCCCTTGCAGGAGTGCCAATATCACTGCCTGAACCGAGTCTGCATACCCAATTGGTCCTGAGAACAGCGCCATGATTTCTCCATGATGGTTTCTGAATACTCCCCCTATTCCAGCCCTCCCTGGGTTTGCAAGGGAGCTACCATCAAAGTTCAGCTTCAATTTGTTTGGTTCTGGTGGTTTCCAATCCATTTTGATAATTTCTTTGTGCAAATCCATTTGTGACACTTCCTTCCATTTCCTTATTATGTCATTTGTTGAAACAACTTTGAAGAAATCTACTGTTTTTACCCAGTCAGCAGATCTGATTTTTATTGTTTCAATTACTTCCTCCTCAGATCTGTGCTCTTTTCAATGAAAGTCCTTTTGATTTCTTTCTTCCTAAATGGTCCAAACTACAGCTGCTCTTGTTACCCTCCATAAACATTTTGCCCTTTTTTTCTGTTGCCACAGAAAATTGGAACTAAATAGGCTGACCAAAACTTGTGGGGGATCCCATCTGCATCCAAAGAGTGAGGAAAAGTAATCCCAAATAGAGGATGCAAACATGAGGAGAGAGGCACTTGGTTGGCCTTCTTTTCTGTAGTAAATCATAGGTGTTAATCTTTCCAAGGAACACTCCCCAACAAAGAATCTGCACTTTGGGAGGGATTGGCTTACACCAAATTTCTTTCACCATAAAGTTCTCTCCCATAGGATCTAAAATGGTTAGGATGTTAAAGAAGGAAGCACATGAGAACAAGCCATCCAGAGAGGGAGACCAAACTCTACTGTCCATTGAACTTTGATCCAAGAATACCTTTTCCAACTTTGATAGCAGAACTAGGGAATCACACTCAATGTCTGTTATGGACACACCGATCGGCAGCGCACTGCGGCGCAGTCATAGGCAGCAGCACGCACAGCAGCACGCGCCGCCCGACAGCGCGCAGCACGCACCGTCCGGCAGCACGCAGCACGCAGCACGCACCGCACGACAGCAGAACTAGGCAGCAGCACGCACTGCACGGCAGCAGCACGCATCGCACGGCAGCAGCACCACGAGACGGGTGCACCGCCCGGCAGCAGCAGTAGGGCGGGGCCCACATGACAGCTCATCAGGGTGGGTCCACACTTATTTTACAACATCAGCTCTGCCCGCCAACTCGCCGCCAGCTACACCATTCCTCATCCCTTATCCTTATCCCTTATCTTATCCTTATCCTTATCTTATCTTATCTTAAGTAAGAGTTGTGTTACCATTAGGAGTTTGAGT